GGGTCTGGGTGGGATGCTCCAAGGGTCAGTGTGGACTTGTTGGGCACATTGTAGGGATTCTATGAAAAAAAAAGTCACGCGGGAACTAGTTCCACTGAAAGGCAGACGTTAGAACGCTTGACCAACCTGTCTCTCTTCAGTTTGGGTTTCTGTTTTCCAGCCAAGGCTCGGAGTTCTTCATCTGACGGGTGTTTATATCGGAAAAGGCTGCCGAGAAAATAGACCAGATAGTCACCAGATCTCTCACATCCCTACTGGGTAAATTCATTTATAAATCAAAACAGTCAACATTTTCCAGGAAGAGATCAGTTTCATTGTCTCTGTCAGTATCTGTATGGACACAGGCACCAATGCAAAGTGAGATCCCTCTAAAGAAAAAGGCTGAGACTAGTCAGACCCACTGTTTAATTACCAAGAAGGGTCATTACTGATAAGGTCAGCATTTATTGCCTTTCACATGATCGCCCTTGAGAAGGTAACTAAGGTGCCACTTCAAAAGGCAGCAAAAGGTCATAAAATCCCTAGAATAGTAGAGGAAGAGGCCATTCAGCCCATTGAGTCTGTACCAAATCTTTTAAAAAGCAATCCAGTCAATTGTTCCTAAAGTGCGATGCCCCTAATTCAATACCATGCTCCAGAGGGACTGGAGTTTAAGAATGTTGTGTGTGGAGCTGCAGTGACATATTGACCAGCCTGAGTGAGGATGCAACAATAAAGGGACATTAGTGTACTGTTTGGAATTTAATGGCAGCTTCTTGGTCAATTATAGTGGTCGTTCTGTCCCACTCCCACACTATGTTTACACGTTTAGATTTTTCAAATTTATTTGTTCATGGGATGTGGATGGTGTTGGTTGGCCAGCATTTATTGTCCACACCTAACTGCCCTGGTGAAGGTGCTGGTGTGCTGCCTTCTTGAATTTCTGCAGTCCTTGAGTTGTTGGGGAATCCTCGTGCTGTTGTAGGAAGTGAGTTCCAGGATTTTCACCCAGCGATACTGAAGAAACTGCGATACATTTCCAAGTTCGGAAGGCATGTGATGGTGTTTCCATGTGTCAACTGTCCCGGTCCTTCTAGATGATAGAAATCGTGGGTTTGGAAGGTGCTGCCTAAGGAAACTTGGTGAGTTGCTGCAGTGTATCATGTAGATGGTACACACTACTGCTACTGAGTGATGGGGGTGAATGGAATGAATATGCATGGGATGCCAATCAACGATGTAGGAGTGGGTCAGACTGTAGCACAGTGACCAATTGGCACTCAGTTCCCACAACTCGCGTAGATTGGCAGTTTCACTGAGGTTTCAGAGAACTGTCAGTACCCATGTGACCTGTATCCTAGAGACAGCCAGCAGCTTCAGGACAGGAGATTTTAAAAATGGGCAAGAAATAATTTAACTAGATTAGATATCTTACCTCCCATTACAGAGCAACCAGCGACCTATGGAGTAATGAGGTGCTAATCTCTGCATTAGGGTCGCCATCAGCAGGCTCACAACCAGCTGAACCCCGATAACACCCTGAGGAAAAAAACAATATAACATTCATCAATAATACACAATGCAAAGAGCAGCAGAATTTCCATTCAGTCGCACCTGTTAACCTCACCACCATTTTCTCATTTGTATTTTATTAATTGTTCCTGTAAACCTCTCTCTTCATATCACAATCTCTATGTTCTTCCTCGCCATGTTAAGATCAACACTCACTGCAACACATCTGTCTCCTGCATCGACTTGTACTCTCCCAGAAACTCAAAACTGAGGAACGTCTTACTTCTCAGCTTCTCTTCCTTCCAGAATCGACCACATTTTAAAATAGGTGTTGGTCATAGCTCAATGCAAGATTCTACACTGAGTCTCAGGATTTGAGACCCAGTGCAAAGATTCAAGCAAAAAAAAACCCAGGATGACACTCTTGTGCAGCACCAGAGGAACACCGCAATGTCAAAGGTGCTGCCTTTTCCCAAGGTTCAGGCTACCTTCTATGGTGGATGCAGAAGGGCAGTTCTCCTCAATGTGTACCAACATTTATCCTTCATCCTGGAGGATGTGTTCATCTCCTTGCACTGTGTGAGCTGCTGCTTATGATGAAGGTTATTGTCACCATTCTCTTACAATATGCAGGAAACTACGAAGCCTCCTTGATCTAACTGGGGAGAGGAAAACTACTGCCGGGCCTAATTAAAGATATAGGTTACTGCGTAATAGCAACTAGTCACAAATTACACCGACAACAATAGACATAGTTCTAGACTTTGAGGACTGGATGTTAGGTCTCCATCCTTCAAGATTCTAAGCTGTTCCCTTCACCAGTCACTAAGCCAGCATTTGACTCCCATCCTGAATCGCCCTTCAGAAGCTGGTGGTGAGCTGTCTTCTTTAACCGCTGTAGTCTACGTGCTGTAGGTGGACCCACAATGCTATTAAGGAGGGAGGTCCAGGATTTTGACCCAACGACAGTGAAAGAATCTTGATATATTTGCAAATCAGAATGATGCGAGGCTTGGAGAGGAACTTGTCGGTGGTGATGCTCCCATGACCTACCATCCTTGTCCTTGAAAGAGTTGAAAGTGTCTTGGTGCATTGCTGCAGTGCATCTTGTAGATGGTACACATTGCTGCTTCTAAGCATTAGTGGTGGAGGGAGTGAACATTTAAGGTACAGAAAGGTTCTGCATACTCTAGTGATTACACTCCTCAAAAACTTTGTAAACTGTGGATTTTCACTACATGGTAGATTGGCAACACCTGCACAATGCATACTTTCTGCTCCAGGAAAAAAGATTGCTTTTCATTTATTTTATTAGAAGCTGCAAAAGAGCAAAGAATGGATTTGAATGGGACAAAAACATACAGTATATTACGTGTACTTAAGCAAAATCACAAAACAGACAGGCAAATGGCAAGACTTCACTGAAATGGCTGTGGTGCCAATCAAGTGGGCTGCTGTGTCTGCAATGATTTTGAGTTTGAGTGTTGTTGAAGCTGCACTTGTCAAAGCAAATGGGAAAAAAAAGTCACATCCCTGACTTGAACCTTGTAGATGGTTAACGCGCTTTGGAGAGACAACACAGTGTGGAGCTGGAGGAACACAGCAGGCCAGGCAGCAAAGGAACAGGAAAGTCGACGTTTCAGGTCAGGACCCTTCATCAGAACCATTTCTGAAGAAGGGTCCCAACCTGAAATGTCAACTTTCCTACTCCTCTGATGCTGCCTAGCCTACTGTGTTCCTCCAGCTCCATGCTGTGTCATCTCTGACTCCTACATTTGCAGTTTTTACTACCTCTGATGCTTTGGAGAGGTGGAGGGGGAGTTAGTCACCAGTGTTTATATGGCTAGTTCAGTTCAGTTTCTGGTCAACTGTATCCCCCATGATGCTGATCGTGGAGGATTCAGCAATGGCAATACTATTGAACTTCAAGAGGTGGTGGATAGATTCTCACCATTTTTAAATGGTCATTGCCTGGCACTTGTGTGGTGTGAATATTACTTGCCGCTTATCATCCAGGTCTTTCTGCATTTGCACACAGGCTGCTTCAGTTCATTAGTAGTGTGCATCAGTTAGCTATCATGATGTATTTCATTACAACAGTGACTACATTTCAAAACATTGGTTTTAAAACTTTCCGGGATGTCCTGAAAGATGCTGGATAATTTTCTTAACCAACCTGTTTGCAGGTATTATCACATAGACCTTGGGAGCAGCTGGGACTTGAAACTAAGTCTCCAGGCTCAGAGGTAGGTACACTTCCACTGTATAGCAACAGCCCTTCTGAAAGGTACTACAGAAATGCAAATACTTTCTATCAAGACATGCATCATTTCCACTTTGTAAATTAAGAACTAGCAGGGTGATGATCACCTGGATGGAAGGTTATGAACAGTGGGCAATGCAAGGATGTGGACTCAGCCACTGCCCCCCATTGTCGAATAGCCTATCAATACTCAACTGAAGGCCACTGCATGGAATAGCGTCAAACCAGAGAGATTGTGGCACACTGTGACCTGTCAAATGCTGAACATCTCCACCACCCACTACCCCTTTCAACAGCATTGCTGCAAGTGAACAGTAGAAGCTTGCAATTACAGCTGGTACAATAATCCAGTTCTAGATCAAGGCCCAGGGCTGACATTTGCAGCGGACCCCCACCCCTGGGGGGGGGGGGGGGGTTGGGCTCCACACTACCCCTCCCCCCAAAAAACCTATTTTTAGTTGCAGCAACGATAATTGAATCATGTCACCGTTATACACTATTGAAGGTAGCAAGGGTCAAAGTAGCCATCAGGGCCTCAGGAACTCCCGCCTTACCATCTCTCTGCCCGCTCAATCTCACTTCAAAACTGAATTATTCCTTCTCCTCTCATCCACCTCAACGCCGTCGGTTGCCTTTAAACTCAATTTAACTTGAGCAATGATTGACAGCTACAACGCCCAATCGCACGGATGAATCCGAATGATTGACGTGAATCTGACCTGTCCGTGTGTACGCCTGTTTCATTGGCTGCCGTCTGGGACAGATAGACCATCCGGGAGTTTGAGGGGGTGGTGCAATTTTATATATTGACCAATCAGCAAGGTGGGCGGGCAACGGCATCAAGAGCGCTGGAGCTGCGCGGCTGCTTATCGCAGGGATTCTGGGAATTGTAGTTCTTCACGTGACCCGCCCCGTGACGTCCTGCGTGAGACGTCACATGCAGAACTACAACATTCAGAATCCCTTGCGCTAACCACGCATGCGCATACTTCATTCAAACTCCAGCCTGCTTATTAAGATCCGGATGAAACTTAAATGAAACTTTTTCTAACTTTTGACAAACTTAATCTCAATGTTGCACGCATATAATTAACTTGCAGGGAACAGCACTGCCCCAGTAACTGCAACTATTAGGTGTATAATCTTTCAAATTGCCATAAAAGGAAAACTTCGAGGAGCATTTAAAGTCGCACTGTCTGATTTATTTTTGGCTAAAGTTTAAAGGGATGGTGCCACTTATAAATAGTCAAAATTTTTAAAATCAGTGTTTAGATTAAAACGTGGAAACATGAAATGCACATCGTCTTAAATCTTATGGAAAGAAATGCAACTGTGAACATTTTGACCGCCCAACTATTCTTTATGATCCCCTTACTAGTTTTTTGCACCTGTGTAAGATTGCATTGGGGATGCTTTGCAAAATTCTCACTATTAGAGACAGTTATTGCCTTTGAGAAACTGTAGAAATAATGTAGTTTATCGACAACAGCATTTCCTTCCTGAAACTATTCTTCTACTTCAATTTCGATTGTGCCATGATCTGCCCTCCCAGAAATTTTCCCATTGCAAGATTCTCTTGAGAACAAGGTTAAACCAATTGTCAATATGGTGCTGAATTTCACAGGTAATACATTGGTCTCAGGTTGTACAGAGGGATATGAATGGATTGGTCAGATGGGCAGATCAGTGGCAGATGGAATTTAATTCTGAAAAATGTGAGGTGATGCACTTTGAAAGAAGTAAAAAGACAAGGGAGTACTCAGTGAATGGCAGCACACTAGGAAGCTCAGGGGAACACAGGGATCTTGGGGAGCTTGTCCACAGATCCCTGAAGGTGGCAGGACAGGTTAAGAAGGTGGTTAAGAAGGCATGTGGGACATTTGCCTTTATCAGTTGTGGCATAGATTATAGGAGCAGGGAGGTTATATTTGAGCTGTACAGAATTTTGGTTAGGCCACAGCTAGAGTACTGTGTGCAGTTCTGATTACCACAGTATAGAAAGGATGTGATTGGTCTGTAGGGGATGCAGAGGAGATTCATCAGGATGTTACCAGGAATGGAGCATTTCAGCAATGAAGAGAGATTAGTTAGGCTTGGATTGTTTTCTTTAAGAGCAGAGAAAGCTGAGAGGGGAATATGACTGAGGTGTATAGGATTATGTACTGTATAATTCTATGAGAACAGTGGAATTTAGGAGTCCTTTTCATGAATCACAGAATCTAAATATATTACATCATAATATCAATACATCAATATAAACTTCAAAGATTTTTAGGGACTTTACAGGGTAGATGTGGAAAACTTGTTTCCCCTTCTGGGAGAGTCTAAGACCAGAGGGCATCATCTCAGTATAAGGGATCACACATTTAATACAGAGATGAGGAGGAATTTCCTCTCTCAGAGGGTAGCAATTTTGTGGAATTCTTTACTGTAGAGGGCTGGTGATGCTGGGTTACTAAGTAGATTCAAGACTGATATAGATTTTTAATCAGTGAGGGTGTCAAGCATTATGGGGAAAAAACAGGAAAATGAAGTTGAGGATGATCTCATTGAATGGCAAAGCAGACTTGATGGGCTGAATGGCCTACTTCTGCCCTATGTCTTATGGCCTAATAGACTTATGAGAGGAAGAAGGAGGTGAATTCAGGGAGACTGTGTGAGAACTTAGGCTGACTGTTGTCAAGATTCCTACAATGCACACGTGCCAAACAAGTGGCAAAATGTTGATACGTTTTAAATGGATATATTTGGAGAGAAAAAAAATCGACACGTTTAAAAACAGAAAGAACTGTGGATGCTGTAAATCAGAAACAAAAACAGAAATTGCTGGAAAAGCTCAGCAGGTCTGGCAGCATCTGTGAAGAGAAATCAGAGTTTACGTTTTGGCTTGAGTGATCCTTCCTCAGAATCCAACATGTGTAAATCTTTTCACACCCTCAGGACTGAGCTTCAAAGCACTTTAAAACAGTTACATATTCTTGATTTATATAGCAGTTTCAACATGATAAATGTCCAAGGATCTTGACATGAGTGTTATCAAGCAAACTCTTATCAACCAACCTACATAAAGATATATTAGGACAGGGGCCATAAGCTTAGTCAAGGAGATAGATTATAAGGAGCATCTTAAAGAAGGAAAGAGGGGATGCAGAGGAGATTCATCCGGATGTTTCCAGGAATGGAGCATTTCAGCAATGAAGAGAGACTAGTTAGGCTTGG